ACTTTTCGCACCAAAATATAAAAATATTTAGTGACAATATACAAAAATATTTAGTGATAATAGAAAAATATTTATTGATAATATTTAAAAATGTTTAGTGACAATAAACAAAAATATTAAGTGACAATATACAAAAATATTTCGTGACAATATACAAAAATATTTAGCGATAATATTTAAAAATATTTAGTAAAACTACACAAATAGGAAAAATATATATATTCGAAAATATATATATATATAGCACAATTCACTGAAGTAGATCAGAGGAACTCTTTTGACAGTTTCACAACAATATCCAAAAGTGTGAAAATGTGTGTTTATTTTCGAAAGTAAAAAAAATCACTCACGATTTAAAATAAGGAAGTAATACGCAGGCGTGTTTCGAATATGAATTTCGCGGATTCGAATATTTCGCGGGCCGAAAAACGAGATTTTTGTTAGTGTTTTTTTTTCGCTCCCTGTCAAACTGAGCATTATACGCATGTACAGTATATGAAACGCGGATCACGTCTCGGCGCAGACTGCAGTGTTGACGATCGCTATAGTAATCCCCATCCGGACATCGTGTACAGTGGAAAAGATGTGGAAAAGAACGTCTATTGGTTGAAATGCTGGCCTGGGCACAATGACCCGCTATATAGAGGCGATTGGTGCGATGCTAAAGAGCGCTCAACGAGCGCCAACGAATCACCGGGATCGTGTATCTTCGACTGATCTTTTTAATGGCGCGGAATATTTAAATTTCACCGAAATAGATATCTTTACCACTTTACCCCACTGTTACGATTGCACCGAAAAAAAATATTCTTTATTTAAGAATATATACTAATAAAAGGTTCCCAGGATATTCTCCATTTAAATTAATTGGGAAATATTCTTACTATAAGAATATATTCTCATTGTAAGAATATTTTCACTTAATTTATTAATATAAATTAATTATATTAATTATATTATAAATTCCACCTTTTTTATAGTGTATATATTCTTAAATTAAGAATATTTTTTTTCAGTGCACCCACACAGGAAAAAAGAAGTGTTATTTTAACACTAAAAGTAGTGTTAAAACTACACGCAACATTTTTAACCGATACTGTATGATTTTAACACTACATTGGTGTTAAAATAACAATAGAGTGTGTTAAATTAACACTAGAGGGTGTTAAATTAACACTAGAGGGTGTTAAATTAATATCCATTTCAAATGGAGTTAAAATAACACCAAAATTGTGTTAAAACAACACCTACTCAAAACTACACGCAACACACTTAACATTTATTTTTTTCTGTGCATTTCGGAGTTAAAGCGAAGGGAGTTAAAATTTACACAGTAAAAATAAGAATCAACTCCAAAAGGGAGTTAATTTTAATAATTAACTCCCTTTTGGAGTTGTGACCGTCAATTCCCTATACATTTTTTACAGTGTACGAAAACTTTGTCTATTACAACGATCGGACAAAAAACGTAAATTTTTAAAATTAGAATCGCAAAATTTAAAGTCTTATTCCTACTTACTACCCCATTGTTACTAATTGCCCCATTTGCAGGCTTCACACTCAATAATTAATTTTAAAAAAGTAACAAAAAATAGTTTCAATACTGAGAAAAGTAGTAAAAAAAAGTAGAAATCGAAAATTAATTTTAACGAATTAATAAAACTATATGTTCTAGTCGATTCACAAAAATTTAATTCAATATTTCCCTAAGTCTTAAATTGTTCACAGGAATTAAGAAAATAAATTAATAATTTTTCAAAAGAAAATTTTAATGTTATTACAGTTTTACAACAATAATTAAAATTTTCAACGATTTCAATTTAATAATCATTTAAAATTTATTTATTTCTAAAAAAATCCTATTATTAGTGCATTTAATATTCAATTATTAAAAATGTCAACTGAAATTCAATTATTTAAATACAAAAATAAAAAATACAATATTGAATAATTGAATATTTCTCAGAATTTAATTCTAATAAAGAATTTATGAATTTTTTAAAAAATAATTGAATATCTGACAAGAATTTTAATATATCTATAAAAATAATTGAATTCCTGCGAAGAATTTTTTTTAAATAATTCAATTTTCCTGAAAAATTGTATTATTTAGGAAAAGAATTGAATAATTAAAAAAAATTAAAGAAAGAATTTATGAATTTTTTAAAAAATAATTGAATTTCTGTCAAGAATTTAATTATTTATGAATAATAATTGAATTCTAGTGAAAAAAAATTTATTATTTGGGAAAGTAATTGAATTCTTGCGAAGAAATGTATTTAATTTTTTTTTAAATAATTGAATTTTTGTGAAAAAATTTATTATTTAGGAAAAGAATTGAATAATTGTGAAGAATTAAAAGAAAGAATTCAAGAATTGTTCGATTTTTTTATAAAATAATTGAATTTCTGAAAAGAATTTTATTATTTATGAAAAATAATTGAATTCTCGGGAAAAAATCTATTATTTAAGAAAATAATTGAATTCTTGAGAAGAAATTTGATTTAATTCTTTTTTTTAAATAATTGAATTCTCATGAAAAATTATTTTATTTGGGAAAATAATTGAATAATTGTGAAGAATTGAAAAAAGAATTTATCAATTTTTTTAAAAAAATAATTGAATTTCTCACAAGAATTTCATTATTTATGAAAATAATTGAATTTCTAACAAGAATTTTATTAATTTTTTTTTAAATAATTGAATTTTTTTGGAAAATTTTATTATTTGGGAAAAGATTTGAATAATATTGTGAAGAAATAAGAAAGAATTCAAGAATTGATCAATTTTTTATAAAATAATTGAATTCTTCAGAAGAAATTTGATTTAATTCTTTTTTTTAAATAATTGAATTTTCATGAAAAATTATTTTATTTGGAAAAATAATTGAATAATTGTGAAGAATTGAAAAAAGAATTTATCAATTTCTTTAAAAATAATTGAATTTCTCACAAGAATTTCATTATTTATGAAAATAATTGAATTTGTACGAAGAATTTTATTATTTTTGAAAATAATTGAATTTCTAACAAGAATTTTATTAATTTTTTTTTAAATAATTGAATTTTTGTGAAAAATTTTATTATTTATGAAAAGACTTGAATAATTGTGAAGAATCAAAGAAATAATTTAAAAATTGATCAATTTTTTATAAAATAATTGAATTTCTGACAAGAATTTTATTATTTTTGAATATAATTGAATTTCTAACAAGAATTTTATTAATTTTTTTTTTAAATAATTGAATTTTTTTGAAAAGTTTTATTATTTGGGAAAAGATTTAAATAATTGTGAAAAATTAAAGAAAGAATTCAAGAATTGATCAATTTTTTATAATATAATTGAATTTCTGACAAGAATTTTATTATTTATGAATAATAATTGAATTCTTGTGAAAAAAATCTATTATTTGGAAAAATAATTAAATTCTTGCAAAGAATTTAATTTAATTTTTTTTAAATAATTCAATTTTCCTGAAAAATTGTATTATTTGGGAAAATAATTGAATAATTGTAAATAGAATTAAAGAAAGAATTTAGGAATTTTTTAAAAAATAATTGAATTTCTGACAAGAGTTTTAATATTTATGACAATAATTGCATTCTTACGAAGAATTTTTATCAAACTTTTTTTAAATAATTAATATTTTTCGAAAAACTTTACGAAATATTTTAAATAATTTAATTCCTGTGTAAATTTTATTACTTATAAAAAAATTGAATGTTTGCGAAGAATTTTATCAAAAATCTTTTATGGAATTTTATTAAAATTGTATATATAGATATTTAAAATCATTGATTTTCGAAAAGTTTTTGTTTGAGAATAATTGAATCGTTTTAAAGAATTTTATTACAATTTTTATAATTTTTCTTTATTTCAACTTTTGGCGAATTTGAACTTGAAGTGATGCAAATTTATTCCAAAAATAAAGAAAAAAGTAACTTTTTGTGTCATAAATCTAAAAACATTTCCAAATAATAGCAAATTATAATAAATAATTTAATTTATTAAAATTTACTAAACTAAAATAGTATTTTTAATAGATGAGTGCGAAGCCTGTAATTGACTATAATTTGCGAACAAAATATGTTCTAGATTTGGAAATAATTGCAATATTAGTAGATTAAGTAGATTTAGAAAATTTCAAGAACACTTTCAGAACGTATAAAATACACTATGAACTTGCTTTTTAAATAACAAAAATTTTCCAGTTTATACTAAATCCAAACTCTTATAAGAAAGTTTATATAGAGAAAAATGTCTGAAAACTTTCTAGAGGAAGTTTCAGAAGTTTAAAAAAAACCGAATAGAAATGTCTGTGGAAAGAAAACACCCGCTAATTAAAGAATCTGAATTTTGTAAATAAACAATATCCCAAAAGCGCAAAATTTTTTTTTTGGTAGGAATAGTAGAAAAAAAATCAGTTTATGCATGTAGAGACTGCAGAAACTCTCAATGTTTCCTGATCACACGCGACTCGATTACAATGTAAACTAGTTAACAATAGACAAACATGATACTCTTCCACTAAAAAAAAAAAAACAAAAAAAAAACAAAAATCACACAAATACAAGAAGCCAATTCTCAATACTTGGATTCGCCCACGTTGTGTCGCGTCTGCAGCTTATCATTTTTCATCGAATCGACCTTTTATGCCGGATGTATTGCAGACTATTGTAAATCGTTTAACCCAGCACCCCCTCCTCCACCATCTCAATGACTTTTCAAACTCATGCGTGAAACGCTCAATTTTTTTTCTGCCTCAATTGAGTTTAAACACAAAACTCAACCAAATTGATTTATCGCTACAAATTTCAAATAATGAAATACAGAATCTTGAATTTTATTTTTTTTTGTCTGTTTGTGATTTCACAATTATAAAATTTCACTATTTTGCAAAAACCGGTATTTCAAATACTCGACGAAGTTCTGTTTGAAGAGTTTATAGTATAGTAAAAATAAAAGAGGAAAAAAAAAATTTGCTGCAAGTAGGTACTCACGTTCGTTGAGAGTTGGCTTGTCAGCGAATGAACTTTTTCCTGGGCATCCAGCAATTCACGGCGTAGTTTTCTCAATTCGTGTGCTTGTTTTTCCTCAGCTGAACTGTAGAGGCTGCTTGCTGTTGATACAAGCGAAACTGAAGATCCATGAACTGTAATAAAGAAGAAGTAATTAATAATAATAATAAAATAATTTTGTCTCAATTTTATTTTTGTTTTATTATATTACCAGATCACTCGGAATAACGCGACTATAACGAGACTAGTTTAGTAGTTTTTGACACTTTTTTTACCATATAGAAATATTTATCTAATATTTTAATAAACAAGTTACTAATTACATTTATTTTAGTTACAAAAAAGCACTAATGGAACTATTTCTTAAACCGAACTATTAAATATCAATTTATTTACTGGAAACATTAATAATTCCAAGGCACTAAAAATTTGTAGAACGTAAAATTATCGGAAATTAAAAATTAAAATTAATTTATATTAGTTATTAAACTCTTTAGATTCAATTAATTTATTTTAATTTATTATAATTTCTATTGGTAATCAATAATTAGAGAATTACGAATATTGACGAATATTTTGAGATTCAATAGGGAGATGCAACTTATCCACCTGAGAACGCCAAGGTCACCGCTAGATGACAGTTCGATTGATAAAATCAAATTCCACGCCACCTAGTGACGACCTTGACGTTCTCAAGTGGAGAAATTAATTTCCTCTACTTTAAATTCGCAAATAATTTTAACAAAAAAATTATTCTTATCAAAGATTTAAAAAAAATTCTTATAAACAATTCAAAACAATTCAAAATTAATTCATTAATTTGCTCTACTTTAAATTCGCTAATAATTTTAACAAAAAAATTATTATCAAAGATTTAAATAAAATTCTTATAAACAATTCAAAAAATTTCAAAATAAAATTCTTTCAAAGTTCAAAAGATTCAATTATTTTCAAAAATATTTCAAATATCAATTATTTTCAATATCTACAATTTTTATAAAAAAATTTCCCAAAAGAATTCAATTATTTAAAAAAAATTCATAAAATTTTTATAAATAATTCAAAAAATTTTAACATAAAATTTTTTTAAACTTCAAAAGATTCAATTATTTTCAAAAATATTTCAAATATCAATTATTTTCAACATCTACAATTTTTATAAAAAAATTTCCCAAAAGAATTCAATTATTTAAAAAAAATTCATAAAATTTTTATAAATAATTCAAAAAATTTCAAAATAAAATTCTTTCAAAATTCAAAAAATTTAATTATTTTCAAAAATATTTCAAATATCAATTATTTTAAATATCTACAATTTTAAAAAAAAAATTTTCAAAAGAATTCAATTATAAAATTTTTTGCAATTATTCAATTATTTTCATAAATATTAAAATTCGCTAATAATTGGAATAAAAAAATTATTATCAAAAATTTAAATAAAATTCTTATAAAAAATTTCAAAATAAAATTCTCTCAAAGTCCAAAAATGTCAACAAATTTCAAAAATTGTGTTTCAAAGTTCAAAAGATTCCATTATTTTCAAAAATATTTGAAATATCAATTATTTCCAATATCTAAAATTTTTATAAAAAATTTCCCAAAATAATTCAATTATCTAAAAGAAGTTCATAAAATTCTTTGCAATTATTCAAATATTTTCATAAATATTAAAATTCTTAAAGGAATTCAATTTTTTAAAACACCATTTTAGTAAAATTTTTTTAAAAAATCAATTATTTAAAAAAGGTATTTTTTTATAAAACTCTTGGAAAATTTCAATTATTTTCAAAAATTATAAAATTTTTCTCAGTAATTTAATTATTTCGATAAATAATAAAATTCTTTTCAGGAATTCTATTATTTTCAAAAATTTTAATTAAATTCGTTGTGAAAATTCAATTATTTTCAAGAATTTTTAATAAAATTCTTCGTAGAAATTAATTGAATTTCAAAAATTTGTTGAAATTTAATTATTTTCAATTAATTAAATAAAAATAAAATTTTTGCAGGAATTCAGTTCTGTAGAAAGCCATTTTCATAAGAATTTTCGATAAAAATAAATTATTTCAAATTTTAAAAAGAGTTTTTATAAAATTCTTTGCAATACTTTGTAGTAATTCTATTATTTTTTTATTCTATTATTATTATTTTTTAATTCAATTATTTAAAAAAAATTTAATAAAATTCTTTGGAAAAATTCAATTGTTTTCAATATACAATTCGAATAAAATGTGACAAACTCTTAAGAATACAATTGTTTTCTGTACAATTTTAATTGAATTCCTCGAACGAATTTGAATTTTCTTCGAAACAACTGAATTTGAATTTTTACAAATTTGAATTTTTTTTTAATATTCCAATCTATTATTTTCATAAATAATAAACTTTTCACAGGAATTCCATTCGATTTCAACTATTTTAAATTAATTCTTCGAAAAATGCAATTATTTTTGAAAATTTTATAAAAATTGTACAAAAAATCCAATTATTTTAAAAAATTTTGATAAAGTTCTTAAAAGAATTCAATTTTAAGAAATATTTAATGATTAATTTAATTACTAATCCTTGTATTTAATTAATAAAATTCTCGTAGAACTTTCTAATAAAATTAAGAATTGATTTAAAATTGAATTTTATATCTTAAAATTTTAGATAAAAATTGAATATTCAAGGTATTATAGAGAGAATTTTTAGAAATTTAATTAAATTTCAAAAGATTTTTTTATTAAAATATTGGAAAATTTAAATTGTTATAAAACTGTAATAATATTTAAATTTTTATATTGATATAACATTTTAAAATTTTTGATTAATTTTATTTCAAAATTTCAACAACAAAAAATATTTTCATTCCTATGGAAAATAAATTGGTATTTAAATATTTATTTAAAAAAAAATTATTCTATTTTTGAATGTAATTAAATTTTGGAAATTATGAAAAAATTAATTCTTCAAATTTAATTTTTCTATTGCTACTTTTTTACTATACTTTTTTTCAGTCTTGAAGCTACTTTTCACTTCTTTTTGAAAATTAATTATTCAGTGCGAAGCCTTGAATATAAAAATGTGAGAATAATTTTTATTTTTACATTATTCTGAAACTAAACGAAAATAATAATTCTCTTTATATAAATGCAAAAAAAAATTAAAAATCGGGTTACATTCGAATTTTGAACAGATTCGACTGTACACTAATGAATATTATTTGTTTCTCTATTTTCTATTTTTTCTTCATAATTTTAATTATTGTTGTAACTTGTAACAATTTTCAAACGATTCAAATGCACCGAAAAAAATATTATTGTTATTGTTCCTCTTATTTTTATTTTCCTTTTATTTAATTCAAATAAACGATTAATTGACTATTATCAATTAAATATTTACTTGAATCAAATAATATTTATTGGAGTCAATTAAATGGTATTTGAACCAATAATTTCAGTATTTGAAGCAAATATGAACTAAACCATTTAATTGACTCGAATAAATATTATTTGATTTAATTTAATATTTAATTGATAATAGTCAATTAATCGGTTATTTGAATCAAATAAATTTTTTTTTCAAAATGATTAAAAATTCATATTCAATGCAAATAGTAAAAAAAAGGGGAAAAATATGAACGTTTGGAGTTTTAGAAAAATATTGTTTAAATAGCTACAAGGAGAGAATAAATTTGTAGGTACAAAAAAAGTTGAATTACTTTCGTCATCCTTGTGAACGTGTTGATAGAGATTTGGTGGTTGTCGGGAAGCATGAGCCGGTGTGGGGGATGTTGGCTGTGACCAGTGTTGACCTGGACACCCAGCAGTGCCAACGGGAACGCTGTAATAAGGTTCAACACTGACACCCATTCCAATGCCCACTTCCTCACCCACTGACGATGATGTGCCACTTCCTCGAGCCAACATTGAAGGATACATTTTCTCGCTCTTTGTCGATCTGTCAAACAAAACATTTTCGTATCTTACAAAATTTATTGACTCACTCACTTTACAAACTAAATAAAAAAAAAAAAAAAAAAAAAAAAAAAAGAACTAAAACTAAAAAGGAAACTTTCAAAAAGGTCCAATTTTTTATTTATTAACCAAAACAAAAAATAACTAAAACTAAAAAAAGAATTTTCAAGGAGAAAATTTTGTTTCATGAAGAAACAAAATTAGACAAAATAATAATTTTTTTTTGGTAAATATTTTTTTACACTTTTCAAGAAATTGCTAAAAGTAAATAGAAAGTAATAAATTTGTCGGAAAATAATGAAACAAAATATAAATAATAAAAAAAATTAATTAAATTAATAAATTTCGGTATTTTCATTTATTAATAAATAAATTACATTAAATTAATTAATTATATTAAAAAGAGAATAGAAAGAAAAGGCAAAAAAATAAAGAAGGATTAAAAAGAGTATTTTAAAGCAAAGAAATAAATCAATTTGGAAAAATAATAAAAAAAGGTAATATTTTCAACGATTATTTCAAACTGATAGAATGACATTCTCTAAAATGATATTAAAAAATTTTAAATTGATTGCAATTGGCAGTGCAGCAAGAATTTAATAAACATTCTTTAGAACTTAAAAATTTTTCATTATCGAACAAAACGGTTCGTTAAAAGAATTCCTATTCAGGTTGCATACACTGGCAACAAGCCATTGCAACTTTTTTTTTTTTTTTTCAAATGTTCATCCATTTTTATTGACTCGTCTAACGAAATGAATGGTCCTTTGCCAATGAAATGGATAAATACGATTTCAATGGGAACGTGTTGCTTCAATCCTTCACTACTTTTTTTCAATTTTATTAAAAACTTTTTACTATTTTTCAAACTCGTATTATATAATCATTCATTTATCATTTCTATAACTTAAAAATAATTCAAAATTGCAAATAATAATTAATTTAAGTTTAATAGGACTCGGATTGATTTTAAGAAGCAAAAAAGCATAGTTTTCGTCGAATCAAACTATCAAAGTAGAAAAAAGTCTAAAAATGTAATTTATTTTACCTATTCAGAGTTGTGAATTTTTTTCTGATTTTTAGTTGCATTCTTTCTTATAAGGTAAAAAGAATCAAAGATAATGTTTCAATATTTTTATAGAAAACCAAAAATTATAATTTTTGTTGCATTTTTAATAGAAAATTAATGTTTTTTTATTGTGTTAAAAATTTCATAAAATTCCGTAACTTCTTTGATTTTTTTTATATGTTGCAATTTTATTATTGTCAAAATTCATAAAATTTATTTTAATAAAAAATTTCACAAAATAATTCAATTATTTAAAAACAATTTTTTTTTAAATTCTTTGCAAACATTAAATTATTCTCCCAAATAAAAAAATTTTTACAGGAATTCAATTATTTAAAACATCATTTTCATAAAAAATTTATGAAAATATCAATTATTTAAAAAGATTTTCATAAAATTCTTCTCAGGAGTTCAATATTCTTTTGATAAATAATAAACTTCTTCTCAACAATTCAATTATTCATATAAATTGTAAAATTCTTCACAGGAATTCAATTATTTTTATAAATAGTCAAAATTTTACAGGAATACTTTTTATTTTTAAAAATTTTAATAAAATTTGTTGCAAAAATTCAATTATTCTTATAAGTAATAAAACTTATCTCGCAGGATTTCAATTATTTTTAATACAATAATTAATTTAATTCTTTAAAACACTATTTTCATAAAAATTTTTCCAAAAAATCAATTATTTAAAAAGATTTTTATAAAATTCTTCACAGAAATTCAATTATTTAAAAAAAATTTTTTAATAAAATTCTTGCAAAAATTTAATTATTCAATTCATTATTTATTATTGTATTTAAATAATTGAATTGTCGTAGAACTTTCTAATAAGAATTGATTAAAAATTGGATTTTAGTTAAAGTTTTATATAATAATTAAATTTTTATAAGATTCAGAATTTAAAATCATTGAGAATCTGAATTTTTCATACATTTTATTAATAATTCAGTAGAACTGTAATTTATTTAGAAAATTTTAATTTCAATTCTGTTGATATTAGTTGAATTTTTTAATATATATTTAATTTTATTTTAAAAATTTTAACGCTCCAGAAATGCAATTATTTTCAGGAATTTTAATAAAATGCTTTGCAAAATTCAATATTATTTTCATAAATAACCAAAATTCATCACAAGAATTCAATTATTTTCTAAAATCATTTAAAAATTCTTGACAAAAATTCAATTATTTTCAAAAAATTTTTCTCAATTCAATGATTAAGTATATTCAAAATAATTGAATTCATCAGAAGAATTTTATTATTTTTTTAAAAATAATTGAATTCTTTCAATTTTGCTATGAATATAAACAAATATAAAAATTGCATTGAAAGTAATTTAATTTTCATATAGAATTTTTGAAAAATATTTTGAGAATAATTCAATTATTTTCAGAGAATTTTAATTTAATTTTATTATTTATAAGAATAATTGAATTTGTTTCGAAGGATTTATTAAGATTTTAGAAAATAATTGAATTAATTCGAAATGTATTAAAAATTTCTTTTTAAATTGAGATCTTCCGATGAATTCAATTGAAATTGTTTTTGAAAATAATTGAATTCCAGAAAAGAATTTTACTATTTATAAAAATAATTGAATTCTTGCAAAGAATTTTACTATTTATAAAAAAAATTGAATTCTTGCGAAGAATTTTACTATTTATAAAAAAAATTGAATTCTTGCGAAGAATTTTACTATTTATAAAAATAATTGAATTGTTTCGAAGGATTTATTAAAATTTTAGAAAATAATTTAATTCTTTAGAAAAATTTTATAACGAATTAAGAAAAAAATTAAATTCTTTCGTGAAATTTTATTGAAAACAATATTGAATTTTTTTAAATTTTATTAAAATTTTGTTAAAAATAATTGAATTTTTGAAGAAAATTACTATTTATAAAAATAATTGAATTCTTGACAAGAATTTTATTATTTAAAAAAAAATTAAAATAATTCTTGCGATGAATTTACTAAAATTTTAGAAAATAATTGAATTGTTTCGTGAAATTTTATTGAAAATCATTGAAATTTTGAAAAGAAAAATATTCAATTATTAAAAAAATAATTGAATTTTTTTAAAAGAATTTTTCAAAATATTAGAAAAGAATTGAATTCTTTAGTGAAAGTTTATTAAAATTTTGTTAAAAATAATTGAATTATTGAAAAAAATTACTATTTATAAAAGTAATTGAATTCTTGACAAGAATTTTATTATTTGTAAAAAATAATTTGAATTCTTGACAAGAATTTTATTATTTATAAAAAATAATTTAATTCTTGCGATAAATTTACTAAAATTTTAGAAAATAATTGAATTGTTTCGTGAAATTTTATTGAAAATCATTGAAATTTTGAAAAGAAAAATATTCAATAATTAAAAAAATAATTGAATTTTTTGTAAAGAATTTTTCAAAATATTAGAAAAGAATTGAATTCTTTAGTAAAATTTTATTAAAATTTCGTTAAAAATAATTGAATTATTGAAAAAATTACTATTTATAAAATTATTTGAATTCTTGACAAGAATTTTATTATTTATAAAAAATAATTGAATTCTTGCGATGAATTTACTAAAATTGAAGAAAATAATTAAATTCTTTCATGAAATTGGATTAAAATTTTGTTTAAAATAATTGAATTTTTACAAAAAATTTTACAATTTTCAAAAATATAATTGGACTCTTTCGAAGAATGTTATTATTTAAATATAAAAATAATTTAACTCTTGCGAAGAATTAGATTAAAGTTTTTGAAAATATAAACAATAATAATTAATTTATTTTTTATAATTATAAATTTTAATATAAATTTATAATTTTTTAAATTTTGATTATGAAATTATTTAAAAATTTATATTTGAAAATAAAAAATTTTGTTATTTGCATAACAATAATAAAGTGAATATCACGTTTCGCGCGCGTAACATTTGCTATAGTTTATTAGTAAATCTTTTGAGAAAAAAATTGAAATATTAAAATTGAGAGAGAAAATTTTTTAATGTCAATTTTTACTAATTCTAGTAAATTAGTAATACTAATTTTTCCCGTTTTGCAGAAATTCAGATTTGAAAATTTGAACGCATATTCAGAAATGCAGAATCCAAAACTATCTGCATTTTCAAATTTCAACTTGAATTCAATTAAAAAGTTTGATATCTCTCTGCTGAAATAGTTAGTAGTTTAAAGTAAAGCACTTTGTACGCTCCATATTCCATTAGCAAATGAACACAATTTTTAATCTACTTTCTATCAAAAGCTTTTGTTTCTTGTTTCCATTCATGAGTGATGCGATATCAAATATCGACTTATCACAGTGCAGTCAAGAGACTCTTGCTCTACTTCGTGCCTCAATTCGTTCCAACAAGTCCATTGGACAATAAATAATATTAACTTGAAATTTTCAAGTGAATATGGATCAAGTTTAGTGCAGAATGTTTCCGGAGAGTCAAAGTGTGTTTCATAATTGATTCATCCGGAAGAGATACTACTCCCAACTAACTACATGGGATAATTACAGTTGCTGACTTGTCGAGTGTCTAACAAGTTTGAATTACATTAATGTGCTGATGCTTTCAATTCATATTTACAGACTGTACGTATATGCATGCTGGGGAATTTTCAGAAAAGTTAGAAGCGCGCTAACTCACCTGATGGAATTACTTCTATTGAGTCGTGGCGGAGCTGGAGAACCCGTTGAATCTCTTTGGTGCATCAAAAGTCGGGCGTGTGTTAAACTTGCTCTGTGAGATCCTAATGATTCAACACTGTCAGCTTCGCAGAGTCCCATTCCTAAAAGAAATTTACAGAAAAATCATTTTTATATTCAAAGTGCACTGCGAAAACAATAATTATAATATTTGAATCAAATAATAAATCAAATCTTTGTTATACAGTCAATACAGTTACCAAAAATTAAATTCTTCTTTATATCGATTATTTTTTTCAATTTTCGAAAAAGTTCTTTGACAATTTTCAAATTCATTTCTTTACAATATTCAATTTTACGAAATTTCAATTATTCGTAAATTCTTTAATTAAATAAATATTAGAAAATAGAAACTAAAAATAATATTTAAAAAAATCAATTAAACTTTTTCAAAAAAATTAATTACAACAATTATTTTTTAAAATTCACGCTCTATTGCATTTAATATTCAATTATTATTATCTAAAATTTAAACTGAAATTCATTTTTATGAAATAAGAATCAATTTTTATTAGAAAATTCTACTAGAATTCAATTATTTAAATACAAATTTAAATGTAAAGATGCAAATAAATTATTTATTGAATAATTGAATGATTCTTAAAATTCAATTCCCATAAAGAATTTTATTAACAAATTTTTAAATAATTGAATTCTATCAACGAATTTTAATGAAATTTTTAAGAATAATTACATTTTTCGACAAAATTCGATTAAAATTGTATTAAAAATAAATAAAATAATTGAAATTCTGCATTGAATTTAATTATTTATGAAAATAATTGAATTCTTGCGAAGAATTTTATTAAAATTTTCAAAAATAATTAAATTCTTGTAAAAAAATTAACAGGAATTTAAATTATTTAAAAAAATTTTAATAAAATTCTTGGTATAAATTAAAAATAACAAAATTCTTAGCAGATCTTCAATTACATTCAGAAATTTTAATAAAATTTTTCTCAAGAATTTAAATATTTTCGTAAATTAATAAAAATCTTTGCAGAGATTCAATTATTTTCAAAAGTCTTAATAAAATTCTTCGCAAGAATTCAATTATTTTCAAAAATATCAGAATTTCAGCTGAAATTCAAACATTTAAAAAAGTTTTGATAAAACTTTTTTTTGGTAGAAATTCAATTATTTTTAAGACAATTTTAAAAAAATGTCTCGATAAAATTCAATTATTTTTAAAATTTTAATGAAATTTCCGAAAGAATTCAATATTATTATAATCTAAGATTTTAACTGAAATCTATTTTTAAATCAATGTTTACGAGAAAATTCTATAAGAATTAAATTATTTAAATAGAAAAATAAATAATATATTGAATAATTGAATGTTTCTTGGAATTTAATTCCCATTAAAAATTTTATCAACAAATTTTTAATTAATTAAATTCTTTGGACGAATTTTAATAAAATTTTTAAGAATTTTTTCGCGGAATTCGATTAAAATTCTATTGAAAATAATTGAATTCCTAAAACGAATTTTATTATTTACGAAAATAATTGAATCCCCGTAAAAATTTTATTATTTATGAAAATAGTTGAATGATTGCGAAGGAATTTATAAAAAAATTTGTTATTAATTAAATTCTTGTGAAATTTTTATTATTTTTTGAAAATAATTAAAAGTTTTTGTAGAATTTTATTAAATTTTTTTTTTAAATAATTACATTCTTTTGGTAAATTTTATGAAAATAGTAGATATTGAACAATATATAATTTTTGCAAAGAATATTATTACTTTTAAAATAATTGAAATTTTGCAATGGATTTTAATAAAATTTTTGAAAGTAATTGAATTTTGTCGTAGAATTTTGCTATTTATTTATAAAGATAATTGAAATGTTGACAATGTTTTTTAGATTTTTTGAAAATAATTGAATTTCTGAGAAGAATTTTAATATTTAAAATAAAAAAAAATTTTGAACATAATTGGATTTTTGCGAAAAATTTTATTACGATGATTACGATGATATTTTTTCACAACTTTAAATTTGTACCCATTTTACTTCGAAAATCATTTATTTTCATTATCTACTATTTTAATAAAAAATGTCCCAAAAGAATTCAATTAATTAAAACAAATTTTATGAAATACTTTGAAAACATTGAATTATTCTGACAAATAAGAAAACTTTTACTGGAATTCAATTATTTAAAACACCATTTTTATAAAATTTTGTGAAAAAATCAAATATTTAAAAAGATTTTTATAAAATTCTTAGCAAGAATTCAATTATTTTTATAAATGATAAAATTTTTCTTAGGATTTTATTTAATATCAAAAATTTGTCAAAATTCAATTATTTTCAATACCAACTAATTTAATAAAATTTCCTAAACGAATTCAATTATTTTCAAAAATTTTCTTCAAATTCAATGATTTTCAATATCTACTATTTTAATCAAAATTCCCAAAATAATTTCAATTATATTTAAAAACATTTTTGATAAAATTCTACGTAAACGTTTAATTATTATCATAAATAATAAAAATTCCACAAGAATTCAATTATTTTCAAAGTTTCTAAAAAAATTTTTGTCAATAATTCAATTATTTTCATAAATAATAAAACTCATCGCAGAATTTTAATTATTTTTAATACAATTTGAATTTAAATTCCCAAAAAATGTAATTATTTGAGAAAATTGTATAAAAATTCGTCGAAAGAATTCAATTATTTTCATAAATAACAATATTCATCACAAGAATTCAATTATTTCTTAAATTATTATTCTTCACAGAAATTTAATTATTTTCAAAAGTTTTAGTAAAAGTCGTAAAATTTCAATTATTTACAAAAAATTTTCTCAATTCAATGATTATTATCTATTATTTTAATAAAATTTCGATAAAATTCTACGCAAACATTCAATTATTTTCACAAATAAAAGAAATTTCACAGGAATTCAGTTATTTAAGAAAGAATTGGCATAAATTTTTTTTTAAAATAATAAATTATTTACAAAATCTTTATAAAATTCTCTGCAATAATTCAATTATTTTCATAAATGTTGGAATTTTTTGTAGATTCAATTATTTTCTTAAATTATAAAGTTTTTGTAGCCTATTCAATTGTTTTCATAATAGATTAAACTCATCGCAAGATTTGAATTATTTTTAATACAATTTTAAATGAATTTCTCGAAAAATGCAATTATTCTTAAAATTTGATTAAAATTCGTCAAAAGAATACAATTATTATTAAAAATTTTGATGAAATTCTTCGTAACAATTCAATTATTTAAAAAAAAAATTTCATAGAAAAAATTTCGTAATTTATTACTTTTTAAAGTTAGAAAATTCTTAGGAAAAATTAAATTATTTTTGATAATTTTATAGAAATTTTTCAAAAGAATCCAATTATTTAAAAATATTTTGATAAAGTTATTATAAGAATTAAATTTTAAGAAATATTCAATTAGGTTGAATAAATTATTTACTTTTGTATTTAAATAATTGAATTCTCGTAAAACTTTGTAATAAGAAATTAAGAATTGATTTAAAATTGAATTTTAGATAACTAGCTCCTCCGACGGCCGCAAGCGGCCGTCTACGGTGCTAGTTTTTATATGTCCATTGTCCAAGTCCATTATTTCATTAATAGTAATATTCAAATTTTTTCAGTTAATAATTTGCTTATTTATATTTGAAATGTTGACGTTTTCTTTGACAATGCAAAATAAGATTTATTATAAGTACTTTCTCTTAAAAAAAATAAAATTTATATATTCGCGCTCTTTTTAAATAACATACGACTGCAGCGCCACCTTCACATGTACAAACAATTTTAAAAACACCCTTCTATTAAGATTTTACATTCTCATTGCCCATTCTTTACACTTTTCGATACATTCGACCTTTCCACTCCATGTCTTTTTTAAAAAAGGATAATTGAATATTAGAAGCGTTTTAGGTTGAATTTTTAGAAATAATTAAATTTCAAAAAGGCTTTACATTAAAATCAGTTAAAATATTTTTTAAAATAATAAAATAGTATACGATACAAATAACGAAATTAGAAGATTAGAACTAAATTAAAAACTATATAAGATAGAATTAGAAACGAAGCAATCTTTAAGAACGTAGAAATTTTTTCAACTATTTATAGTACAAAATTCCACACTGAGAAAGAAAACAATATATTTGAATCAAACATAATAATAAGTTTGATTCAATAAAAATTAGTTTTAATTCAATTAAAAAATATGTTTAATTAAAACATACAATTTTTTTTGTTGGATACATATTAAAAAAAATATAAATAAAAAAAAAAAAAAAAAAAAAAATTTCTTTCAGTGCAGTCGAGAAATTAAAATCGATTTCTATAAATGTAATTTTTACAATTTTCAGGCCTTCTTTACTATTTTCGAATAATGCGACTTTTATCGACTTATTGAAATTATTTTCCAAAGAAAAGATTTTACCAAATTTTAATTTTTTGAACATTTTTTAATTGTGTGTAGTTTCAAAGATATTGTCTTTCAAAAATTATTTTAGAAATATTTTTCAAAAATTAATTTTAAAAATTGAAGGGCTACATAAAATAAGGGGGCGAACGTGAGGCTTGGAAGGGATACTACCAGTCGGGTAGCAGTGACAAGCCTTGAGCCGCTCGCTGCTACCTGACTAATATTATCCCTTTCAACCGCGAGTTCGTCCTCTTATTTTATGTAGCCCTTCAATTGCTTTATTAAAATTTTTGAAAATATTCTACCTTAATATTAAAAAAATAGACAGTTTCAATTATAAAAAATTGAGTTTTTGTATTAAATTCTCGAAGAACTTTCTTAAAATTATTAAAAATTAATATAGATAATAATAATTGATTTAGAGATGAACTTTAGTTGAAAATTTTAGAAAATTACAACTATATAACCCTTCCAAAATTTAATGATAATTTTGGAATGGTTGTATAGTCGTAATTTTTAAAAATTTAAAGTTGAAGAAGTTGGAATTTTTAAAATTTTATTTCTCGTGAAAAATAGAAATAAGAAGTAGGAATTTAAATATTTATTTAGAAAGATTCTTCGAGTTTAGAAATCAGTGAAGAATCAAGGAAATAGAAAATAAAATTTTTTGTGACAACACTAAATTAAATGAATGACTTTTTCAACTTTTTTTCTATTTCTAGACTAAAGCGACTTTTTTGGTTCGTTAAAGTCGATCAGAGACCTGAATTTTAAATTTTTTATAGAAACGAATTTTGCTCGAATTTATTAACTATACAAATTGTGTAATGAAAATAATCGCCTATCGTAATTTTCGAACAAATCCAATTTGTTCAAGTTGTCAACACTTGCATCGAAGCGAAATATACATGTATTTGCCGAGAAGCTCGCCAACCCCCTATAAACAGATCAATCACGCACGCGAAGACCTTGAAGGTTGAAATTGAAAATCGAAAGTGACGTAAGTAATTCTAGTCTGTAGTCTGTAGTCTGCCGTCCAAGTCTAACAATCTAAAGGAAAACTTGAGAATCTCCACTTTGAAACCGTAACCTCTAATTTGCGTCACGTCATCACAAAAGTAAAGTCTGACGACCTTTCTTTTCTTACCTTGAGATCGACCACTCGGCGTGTAGGTGTTGCTGTGCCTCATCCAGGAAGTGGCGTAGGGACTGCTGGGACTTCCATAGTAGCCTTGGAGATCGGGCGCCGCGTAAGTGCTGCACGTGTCGCTGAGACTGCCGTCCGATGGCTTCAGGACACGCGGCGAGAACGACGACGAAGTGGGACCACCGCCGCTGCCGCGCTCCCGATGATGGGCCGCCGCGAAGAAGGCCGTGAATTCTGGACTTCCAGGTTTCGGAAGACTTTGCGAGCCCAGCATTAGACGATCGCGAACCGATTGCGACAGTTGACTGGCACTTGCTCCAGTCAGACTGTAACTCTTGTAATGATGACCTTGATTTGAACTCGAGGAATTCGCCTGTAATTCGGTTGTGCAGGTTTGCGTGCCACCGGATACTTTGACCTGAAAGCAATTTTTAACGTTAGTGTTTATTCATTTAGGGAAATGTGGAGTTAAATATAAAAATAGAAATGCCTATTACTCAAAAATAATCAGATTTAAACCTAATCAATTTTTTTGTGTCAATTGCCACAAAAAATTGATTTTGCTTTTTTCTAAATTTTCCCCACCGAATTTTGACATTTTCCCCCTGATCACTACAAAAAAAAAACAAAGAGGAGTTCAAATGGATTTTAGTAAAAACTTTCAAAAAAAAAAAAAAAATCAATTATTTAGGAAAAAATTTTATACAATTCTTTGCGAACATTCAATTAATTTTCAAAAATAATAAAATTTTCACAAGAATTCAATTCTTTAAAAAGATTTTTATAAAATTCTTTGTAAGAATTCAATTATTTTTACAAATTATAAAATTCTTCGAAGTAATTTAATTATATTTATATTTTATAAATATAATTCTTCTCAGGAATTCCATTCTTTTAGAAAGTTTTAATACAATTCGTAGCAACTATTCAATTATTTTCATAAATAATAAAATTCATCGCAGGATTTTAATTATTTTTAATACAATTTTAAAGGAATTGTTCAAAACATGTAATTATTCTTAAAAATCTAATTTCAATTCCTCGAAAAATCAATTTTTTAAAAAATGTTTTTCTAAAATTCTTTAAAAGAATTCAATTATTAACAAAAATATTAGAATTTTTCACAGTAATTCAATTATTTTCAATTATTTTAGTACAATTATTGTTCGAAATAATTCAATTATTTTAAATAGAATGTTAATTAAATTTTTATAAAATAATTCAATTATTCTTTAAGATAATAATAAAAATTCTTTCCGAAAATTCAATTATTATTTACATTAATAATTCTTCAACAAAATTTAATTAAATGTCAATAAATAACAAAATTATTCACGAAAATTCAATTCTTTTGAGGGAATTTATTAAAATTCTTTGCAAAATTCAATTATTTTAATTAATAACAATATTCATCGCAAGAATTCAATTATTTTTTAAAGTAATTAATTTTTTCTTGGGAATTCATTAATTTTGTAAATAATAATGTTCATCTCAAAATTTGAATTATTTTTATTACAATTTGAGAGGAATTAGTCCAAAAATGTAATTATTGTTAAAAATTTAATTTCAGTTCCTCAAAAAACTTAATTATTTAAAAAGATGATGTTTTAAAATTCTTTGGAAGAATTCAATTATTTTCAAAAATATTAGAATTTTTCACAGGAATTCAATTATTTGAAAACATTTCTATAAAATTCGTCGCAATAATTCAATTATTTTCATAAATAATAAAAATTCTTCTCAGGAATTCAATTCTTTTAGAAAATTTTAATACAATTCTTTGCAACTATTCAATTGTTTTCATAAATAATTAAATTCATCGCCGGATTTCAATTATTTTTAATATAATTTTAAAGGAATTGCTCAACAAATGTAATTATTCTTAGAATATTTTATTTCAATTTCTCTAAAAAATCAATTATTTAAAAAAATGTTTTTTTTAAATTCTTTGGAAGAATTCAATTATTTACAAAAATATTAGAATTTTTCACAGGGATTCAATTATTTAAAAAGATTTCTTTTCTAATTCTTCGTAAGAATTCAATAATAATTTATACAAATTATAAAATTCTTCTCATGAATTCAATTATATTTAGAAATCTAATTCTTCTCAGAAATTCAATTATTTTTAAAAATTTTAATAAAATTCGTTACAAAAATTTAATCATTTTTCATAATTAATAAAACTCATCGCAGGCATTCTATTATTTTTAATACAATTTTAAATTAATTTCTGGAAAAATGTAATTATTCTTAAAACTTTCATTAAAATTTTTCAACAGAATTTAATTATCTATTTTAAAAAGTTTTGATAAATATAAATTTTATTAATTATGAATTGAATCATTATTTTCAAAACATTTTTAATTAAATTTCTTGAAAGAATTTAAATATTTTCAAAAATTTTGATGAAATTCTTCGAAATATAATATTCAATTATTTTCAAAAAAATTGTAATTAAATTCTTCGGAGAAATTTATCTAATTTCAACGATTTAATTATTTTTAATTATCTACTATTTAAATAAAATTTCCCAAAAGAATTCAGTTATTAAAAAAAAAAATAAAAATTTCATAAAATTTGTCGCAATAATCATTTTTATGAGTTATAAAATTCTTTGGAAAAATTCAATTTTTCTTGAAAATTTTATTAAAATTGTTCGAAAGAATCCAAATATTTGAAAAAAATTTTTAATTAAATTCTTATAATAATTCAATTTCAAGAAATATTCAATTATTTAATTAATTATTTATTTCTGTGTTTAAGTAATTGAATTCTCGTAGAAATTTTTATTAAGAATTGATTTAGAATTAAATTTCAGTTGAAATTTTAAATAATAATTGAATATTCAAAGCGTTAATTGGATTTTATGTCAATAAATCAAATTACGTTCAATTATAAAAAAAAGATAATTTTCAGAAGCAAAATTTTTTATTTAAAGTCCTAAAGGTGAAAATTTTTACAAATTGCATTTAAAATAATTTAATTTCGAAACTAATTACCTAAAATTTTTATTTATTAGTTACTTGTAAAAAAATTGAAATTAAAAAATTTTAAATCTGAAGTCTCGAAAAATTGCATTCAAAATTCTGAATATTATAGATTTTTAAAAATTTTGCGCTCTATTTTCGTATCTTTAATAAAAATTATCAATTCAATTTTACAAAATTTCTAATAATTTAATGATTCTTTAATAACATTTTTGTGAAAATTTAATTAATGTTAATAGAAGTTTAGGGAATTTTAATTATTTAACAAATGTTCGATTACCTTTGTCCTTGGTACTGCGCTGACTTGTGCGGTGCGTGTCGCGTCTTTTGAACCATTTTGAACTCCATTTGGACTCGGACTCGTACCAGCGCTGTGTCTTTTAACGTAACCAAAACTTTGCGGCACTCCTCTTACTTTACTACTTCCGGTTGAAGTTCCCGATGACACTTTTTGAGGTTTTTCTCCATTCGCGTATTCGGCCATTGTCTGCTTGCGATGTTTTTCCTAAAATTAAACATTCAACTTAAAATTCGAAATTAAATTAAAAATAAAAAAAAAAAATTTGGTACCTAAAAAAATTGTAATTTTTCAGTTACGACTTTAACCTTAAGAAAAAATAAAGAAATGAAAAAGAATGCAGATAAAGAAGAGTATAAATAAAAAGAAGAGAATAAGGATAAGGAAAATAATGAAGAAAAGGGAAATAATAATCAATAAAAAAATTAAGAAAATGAAATGAACAAAGAAAAAGGTAATAATAAACAATAAAAAAATAAAGAAAAATAAAGAAACGGAAAATAAGAAAGAAAAGGAAAATAATGAAGAAAAGTGTAATAATAATTAATAAAAAAATAAAGAAAAGGAAAAGAATAAAGAAAAGGGAAATTATAAACAATAAAAAATAAAGAAAAAGAAAATAATAAAGAAAAGAAAAATAAGGAAGAAAAGGGAAAGAATAAAGAAAAGGGAAATTATAAAGAATAAAAAAATAAAGAAAAAAAATAACAAAGAAAAGGGAAATAATAATTAATAAAAAAATAAAGAAAAGGAAAAGAATAAAGAAAAAGAAAATAAGAAAGAAAAGGGAAATTATAAACAATAAAAAAATAGAGAAAAAGAAAATAATAAAGAAAAGGAAAATAATAAAGAAAAGGGAAATAATAAACAATAAGAAAAAATACAGAAAAAGAAAATAATAAAGAAAAGGGAAATAATAAACAATAAGAAAAAAATAAAGAAAAGGAACAGAATAAAGAAAAGGAAAAAAATAAAGAAAAAAAAGAATAAAGAAAAGGAAAATAATGAAGAAAGGGGAAATAATAAACAATAAGAAAAAAATAAAAAAAAAGGAACAGAATAAAGAAAAGGGAAAAAATAAAGAAGAAAAAAAGAATAAAGAAAAGGAAAATAATGAAGAAAAGGAAAAGAATAAAGAAAAGGAAAATAAGGAAGAAGAGGAATATACTGAAGAAAAGGGAAAAAATAAAGAAAAAGAAAAAATTGAGTGAAAAAAAAACAAAAGGATTAAAAATTTAAAAATAAATTTGTTTTTAAATGAAATAAAAAATAACATACTTGTGATCGTCTGGAGGGACTAGGACTTGGGGGAGCACCCTCCTTGTCTCTGTCTCTGGCTGCACCTGCCTCGATATACTTTTTCCATTGTTGACTGTTGGAAATACTGTTGGAATTATTTTGTTGTTGTTGCTGCTGTTGTTGCTGTTGTTGTTGTTGCTGTTGTTGTTGCTGCTGCTGTTGTTGATGCTGCTGTTGCTTGAATGCAGAGTTTTCAGTTTGTTGAGAACTATCTGACTTCTTGACGTGGGAATGATGACTGCTACCAGGGTGCCGTGAACTTACCACCCTATAGACGAGGTTGTTACCCTGTTGTACCCCTTGGGGGGTGGCCAAGCCACTGCCACCCCCCACGACCACGCTACCACCTCCTGGCACCCTCTGTAACACAAATAAATATGTCAAGTATTATAAATAAAAACAAAACTCCCACGCACAATTATATATATATAAGATTACCGAGCGTATATAATTTACGACTCTTTATTCAAATCTTCAATTTCGAATCTTGACTATAATTTATAATACTATAAATTTATTAATTCAACTTTTTTTTAAATTTAAAAAATTTTTTTTCTAAAATTTCAGTTTTATTTAGTTTAACGCATTTGAAGTATCGAAACTTTTTAATTTATTATTTTTATGGTTTTAAAGTTCGAATTATTAATTTTTTTATACACTTTTTTTAAAATAGGAACCAAAAACCGAATCGAAAATTTTCAGAAACTTTAATTACTTAACTTAAATACTCAGGAGTTTTCGAGATCGCTGATTACGAATCTAAAGTTACTTTTATTTAAGAAAATAACGATATTTAAATAAAAGTAATGTCAGATTCGTAATCAGCGACCCTAAAAACCCCTGAGTAACAAGTTTCAAGCGAATTCAGTTAATTTTCGAAAAATTTGTCCGCCACATTGGATCCGCCATTTTGAATTTTAAAAAACTGACATTAACTTCGTAATCAATAACCCCAGGGCTCGAACTAGGTCCGTAAATCACGTAAAAGTCTGTAAATTTGCTTGAAGTCAGTAAAAGTTAGTTTTTTTTTTGGAAAAAAGGTCCGTAAAGTCCGTAATTTAATTGAAAAAGAATGAAAAGTTCGTAAATTGTACGATATAATTTCGGAAATTTTGAAAAAGTTAGAAATGATTGCAGAAATTCAATTATTTTCAAAAGTAATAAAATTATTCTCAAAAATTCAATTATGTTCAAAAATTTAAAAACATTCTAGTCAAAGTTTTCATTATCTTTATAAATAATAAGATTCTTCTACGAAATTCAATTATTTTCAAAAATTTTTTAATAAAATTCTTGGCAAAATTACAATTATTTTCAAAAATTTTCCCCCAATTCAATGATTTTTAAAATCTACTATTTTAATAAAATTTTCCAAAAGAATTCAATTTATTTAAAAAATTTTTTATAAAATTCTACGCAAACATTTAATAAATTCTTCGTAGAAATTTATTTAATTTCAAAAATTTGTCGAATTTCAATTATTTCCAATATTTGCTAATTTAATAAAATTTCCTTAAAGAATTCAATTGTTGAGAGAAAATTTTAAAAAATTCTTGGTGACATTTCGCTATTATTTTCAAAAAATTTTCTTCAATTCAATGATTTTTAAAATCTACTATTTTAATAAATAAATAAATTCAATTGTTTAAAAATAATTTTGGAAAAATTCTACACAAACGTTCAATTATTATTATAAATAGTGAAAATTTTACTGGAATTCAATTATTATTACAAAATTATTAATATAATTCGTTGCAAAAATTTAATTATTTTTATAACTAATAAAACTCATCGCAGATTTTTCATTATTTTTAATACAATTTCCATTGAAATTCTCGAATAATGTAGGGGAACATAGTCGAGGTCGGCCCACTTTTTGACTTTTGTTTATAATTTTTTTTTAAAAATGAAAAAGTTATAAAGATTTAAAAAAAAAAAAATTTGTAGTCCAGGTTGGTCCTTACAGTCAAGGTCGGCCATGTTTAAAATTCAAAGGGCATTAATGAAGCTAAATGCCATAAAACAGAAGAAAAAATGTTGAATTTTAAGAAATTCGGTTATATTCAAATTTTTGAAAATTTAAAAAAATTTTAAATTTTTTACCAAAGGGTAGAGACTATTAAATAAGTAAAGTATTTTTGAAGAGCACAAAAATAATAAAGCTAAATGCCACAAAAGAAAAGAAAAAATGTTGAATTTTAAGAAATTCGGTTTTTCAAATTTTTGATAATTTTTAATAGTTTTAAATTTTTTACCAAAGAGTGGAGACTATTAAATTAGTAAAGTGTTTTTGAAGAGCCCAAAAATAATAAAGCTAAATGCCACAAAAGAAAAAAAATGTTGAATTTTAAGAAATTCGGTTTTTCAAATTTTTGATAATTTTGAAAAATTTTTTATTTTTGACCAAAGAGTGGAGATTATTAAATTAGTAAAGTGTTTTTGAAGAGCCCAAAAATAATAATGCTAATTGTCTTAAAACAGAAGAAAAAATGTTGAATTTTAAGAAATTTGGTTTTACAAATTTTTGATAATTTTTAAAAATTTTAAATTTTTTACCAAAGGGTAGAGACTATTAAATAAGTAAAGTATTTTTGAAGAGCACAAAAATAATAAAGCTAAATGCCACAAAAGAAAAGAAAAAATGTTGAATTTTAAGAAATTCGGTTTTTCAAATTTTTGATAATTTTTAATAGTTTTAAATTTTTTACCAAAGAGTGGAGACTATTAAATTAGTAAAGTGTTTTTGAAGAGCCCAAAAATAATAATGCTAATTGTCTTAAAACAGAAGAAAAAATGTTGAATTTTAAGAAATTCGGTTTTTCGAATTTTTGATAATTTTTAATAGTTTTAAATTTTTTACCAAAGAGTGGAGACTATTAAATTAGTAAAGTGTTTTTGAAGAGCCCAAAAATAATAAAGCTAAATGCCACAAAAGAAAAAAAATGTTGAATTTTAAGAAATTCGGTTTTTCAAATTTTTGATAATTTTGAAAAATTTTTTATTTTTGACCAAAGAGTGGAGATTATTAAATTAGTAAAGTGTTTTTGAAGAGCCCAAAAATAATAATGCTAATTGTCTTAAAACAGAAGAAAAAATGTTGAATTTTAAGAAATTTGGTTTTACAAATTTTTGATAATTTTTAAAAATTTTAAATTTTTTACCAAAGGGTAGAGACTATTAAATAAGTAAAGTATTTTTGAAGAGCCCAAAAATAATAAAGCTAAATGTTACAAAAGAAAAGAAAAAATGTTGAATTTTAAGAAATTCGGTTTTTCGAATTTTTGATAATTTTTAATAATTTTTTATTTTTTGCTAAAGAGTGGAGACTATTCAAATAGTAATATTTTCCTACCGAAATAGCTAATGGTAACTAATTATAATTTTTCTTCCGGTCATATTAAATTTCATGGCTATTTTCTGATTTTCCAGATTAGTAGAAACAGTGCTAAATGTATTGGTAGAAACTAAAACCCGCGTCGAAGACGGGTACGACAGCTAGTATTATATAATATTATTGTCAGCTGTTTTTCCATGTATGTTTCCTGTGTCAACAGGTGTTGGAAGTTCTAAACCACGCTTGATATAAATGCATTTTATACGATAGCAATTGTTATTGAATGAAAAATAAATAATAATTTCTATTCTTTTTTTTAATTATTTATAATAATTAAATTCTCTTTCAATTCCCTTCTATTATTACTGAAACCAAAAATTTTCTCACAATTTTTTTTTCTTAAAAAAATGATTAAAAATGCCCCATAACTATTTCTCTCGCAAAGTTTTATTTGCAATAAATGTAACTGCATATTAAATTTAATATCGATTTCTCAAAGAGTCTTAACTGATGTCTGAACTGCTGAATATTTTATTACCACGTAAATCATGACGTATAAGTTGCAGAGGTATGCATTTGACTATCTCAAACTGATTTACATTCGCGTTAAATAGCTCTTGTTACTTTGCAACAATGTATGCAAATTTATGTTTATTAATATTTAAAATGGAAATATTTAAAAAATATTTGCGATAATATTTTTAATTATTAGGTTTATAAACTTTTTCTTTGCTCCTGATCCATTTAGATATTTTTTCAATTATTACTGGTAATTATAAAATGAATTTTTTTTAAATATTTAAATTTTCGATAATAAACTTCTTATTTTCTTTTCTTCAGTTTCTTTACATATTAATTTAGGAATAAATTTTAAGAATAAATTTTTTGTTATTTTAACATTAATTTTTATGTTTTTTACATTATTTTGTGACTTTTGAGTTATGTTCGAAGTAAATTTATTTTGAGCTACATTTTTTTTCTTAAGGAAGAAAAATTTTTTCAAGTGGAGAATTGAACTCCGAACTTCGACCTTTGAAGTCCGGAGTCTGAACCAATGGACCATATTGACTTTTAGCATCTTAAGGAAGAGTTTAAAAAATGTAAAAAAGACTATTTTCAAAATAATATTTTTAATTTCAGATCCATCATTCATTCAAGAGAAATATTAAAAGAAACCGCACTAAATACACTAAAAATGGCTTTCGGTTAAAATTCTTAATATTTTCAAAAATTTTAGTTACAGGTTTTCTGTTTAAAAAAAATAATTAAGCGAAGGTCAAGAAATAAATAACCGAAAGCCATTTTCAGTGTGTTTAGTGCGGGGTGTTTTATTTATTTATTGTAAAACGTAATTATATTTTATTATTTCTTTGTAATTTATTTTATACTCTGTAAAGAATAAAAGTAGTTTTAAAAATTTTACGATATTTTGTCTATACCTATTTCTAATTAAATGAATTATATAACAAAAAAATTTTAATTTTACATGCAACTTTTTTTTAACAGGAAGCTGTGAATACCCACTTTCAGCAAGGGGATGAAAGTGTAGAGAAATTTTGGAAATTTTACTAAATTTCCTCATGCTAGATGATGAATAAATTTATACAATTCGCTGGAGTTTTGTAAAAATCTTTGCGAAAAATGTCCAATGTCATAATTTTGTATTTTATATGAAATTGACAAAATATAAATAAACTTTTGCATCAACAAAAAATTTAATTATTTTTAAAAATTTAATTTTAATTCCTCGAAAAAATCAATTTTAAAAAAAAATGTTTTTTTTATAATTCTTTGGAAAAATTAAATTATTTACAAAAATATTAGAATTTTTTCCAAGAATTCAATTCTTTTTAAATATTTTAATAACATTGTTCGAAACAAATCAATTATTTTAAATTTAAATACCATTTTAATAAAATTTTCTTGAAATAATTGAATTATTTTTTTAGATTTTAATAAAATTCTTTACAATAATTCAATTATTTACATAAATAATTCTTCGACAAAATTCAATTATTAAAGATAA